CCCAAGAGGATGCAACGCTCCGAGTGGAGTGTGCACGTACTCCCGGGGGACACGGCTGACCTCGACTCGAATAAGCGAGTGAAATGGCATCCACAATCCAGTGGGATAATCTTTGTTTCGATACGGCACTTCCCTGCTGCCGACCGCCATAACAGACAAAGAGCTGCTCAGATGATCTAAAATTCTGAGTACGGTCCACATAAATGCGCAGAGCGCGAACTGGACAAAGTAAAGAAAGGGCTGGGTCTGCCTCCTCCGGGGGCAGCGCTTGCAGGTTCACTACCTGATCTCTAAAGGGGGTGGTAGGAACCTTGGGCACATAACCGGGGCGGGGTCTCAGGATAACGTGAGAGTAATCCGGCCCGAATTCCAGGCACGAGTCACTGACCGAAAATGCCTCCAGGTCCCCGACCCTCTTGATGGAGGCCAACGCAACCAGCAGAGCTGTCTTCAGGGACAGAAATCTTAGAGATACTGATTCGAGTGGCTCAAAGGGATCGGATCGCAGACTCGTGAGAACGAGGGCGAGATCCCAAGAGGGTATGAGAGGGGGGCGAGATGGATTAATTCGCCTAGCACCCCTAAGGAGCTGGATGACCAGGTTATGCTTTCCCACGGTGCCGCCAGCTACCGCGCTATGATAAGCGGAGATGGCGGCCACGTAAACCTTGAGAGTGGAGGGCGACAGCCTGCTGTCCAACTTCTCTTGAAGGAAAGAGAGCACAACACTAATCTGGCAATTTCGGGGGTCTTCTCTGCGAGAGACGCACCATTCAGTGAATAGACTCCACTTCAGGGCGTAGGCGCGCCTCGTGGAGGGGGCTCTAGCCTGAGTGATGGTATTAACCACCGCAGTCGGTAGGTTACCTAAGTCTTCCTCGCGTCTAGGGACCACACGTGGAGGTTCCAAAGATCGGGGCGAGGGTGCCAGATGGTGCCCTGTCCCTGAGAGAGTAGGTCCTCTCTCAAAAGGATCCGCCAGGGGAGGGCCGTCGCGAGGAGTGAGAGCTCTGATATCCAGGTCCGGTTGGGCCAAAGGGGCGCAACTAGCAGAACCTGTTCCTCGTCCTCCCTGACCTTGCACAGAAACTGCGCGAGCAGGCTCACTGGGGGAAACGCATACTTGCGCATGCCCCGAGGCCAGCTGTGGGCCAGTGCATCCGTGCCGAGAGAGCCCTCGGTCAGGGAAAAAAACAACTGGCAGTGAGCGTTCTCGGGGGAAGCAAACAGATCGATCTGGGCCTCCCCGAATCGCGCCCATATCAGCTGAACAGACTCGGGGTGGAGTCTCCATTCTCCAGGGCGTAACAGCTGTCGTGAGAGCGCATCGGCTGCACGATTGAGCGTGCCTGGGACGTGAATGGCGCGCAGCGATTTCAGCCGCGGGTGACTCCAGAGGAGCAGACGGCGGGCGAGCTGAGACATGCGGCGAGAGCGCATACCCCCCATGCGGTTGATATACGCCGCCGCCGCCGTACTGTCCGTCCTGACCAGCACGTGTTGCCGCTCCAGCACCGGTAAAAAGCGGTGGAGAGCGAGGAACACTGCCAACAGCTCTAGGCGATTGATATGCCAATGCAGCTGGGCACCCTTCCAGAGGCCCGCAGCCACATGCCCGCAACACACGGCCCCCCAACCCGTGTTGGAAGCGTCTGTTGAAACAACAACATGGCTGGACGCCTGTCCTAGAGGCACACCGGCCTGTAGGAACGAGGGGTCGTTCCAAGGGCTGAGGGCGCGGCGACACAGCGCAGTAACCGAGACCCGGTGTGTGCCCGCGTGCCATGCGCGTCTGGGGACCCGATCGTGAAGCCAGTGCTGAAGTGGTCTCATATGGAGCAACCCGAGCGGCGTGACGGCGGCTGCGGATGCCATATGCCCCAGGAGCCTCTGAAAGAACTTCAGTGGGACCACTAGTTTGCTGTCGAGCTCCCTCAGACAGTTCAGCAACAGGCGAGCGCGTTCCTCGGAGAGGTGCGCTACCATGGTGATCGAGTCCAGCTCCATCCCGAGAAAAGAAATCCTCTGCACGGGGGCGAGTTTGCTCTTTTCTCGGTTGACCTGAAGCCCCAGTAGGCGGAGATGCCGAAGCACCTCGTCCCTGTGCATAATCAATTGCTCCCGCGAGTGGGCTAAAATCAGCCAGTCGTCGAGATAACCGAGTATGCGAATGCCCGCGAGCCGAAGGGGCGCTAGGGCACCCTCCGCGAGTTTGGTGAAGACCCGCGGAGACAGAGAGAGCCCGAAGGGGAGGACCTTGTACTGCCACGCTCGACCCTCGAACGCAAACCGCAGAAATTGGCGGTGGCGTGGAAGAATGGAGACATGGAAATACGCGTCCTTCAGGTCTATGGCTGCAAACCAATCCCGAGGACGAACGCATTGGAGAATGCGCCTCTGCGTGAGCATTCTGAACGGCAGCTTGTGCAGACAGCGGTTCAAAACGCGCAGATCTAGGATTGGCCGTGACCCACCGCTCTTTTTGGGTACGATGAAGTATGGGCTGTAAAACCCACTCTCCATCTCGGCTGGAGGAACCGGCTCGATTGCACCCTTCGCCAGGAGGGCAGCAATCTCCTCTCGCAAGACAGGGGCGGACAGGGGGTTGACCCTGGAGAAATACATGCCCGTAAACTTGGGGGGCCGTTTCGCGAACTGAATCGCGTAACCGAGTCTGATTGTGCGTATGAGCCACCGCGAGGGGCTGGCCCGCGCTAACCAGGCAGGCAGAGCCCTCGCTAATGGAGTCATCGCTACAATCGCTGACGTACCAGCGGTGGGGCAGCGCGGAGTGGGTGTGCTGATCCGGGAAGCACGAGGGTCCCGCGGAAAAGCTGGAGGAGAGCGATTCGCTCTGGCTCCGCACCCTGACTCCGGAGAGGGGGCTGGAGGGCTGAGGGAAGGGAGACCGTCCCCCCAGCGCTCGTGAGCCACTGGCGAAGCACGTAGAGTCTGCGAGCCGGAAGGCAGCGCGTCCCGGACTGGCAGAACTCGTGCAGTCACATCCGGGGAAGGGAAAAAGTGCTCTTTTACTGATGTTTTGGTGGCACTGAAAAGTACCGTTGTTATCGGGGCCCCGCCCTCCAGCGGGGAAAGAGCAAGTTTCCTCTTCTCCGGATGGCCTGTCTCAGGGACGCTTCGCGGTCCGTTTACCGGACTTAACGGCGCCCTGGGCAGGAGGGGCTGCCTGCTTTCGAGGTGAACGCCGCGCCCGCTTGGCCGGAGGCGCAGGCGGGGGCGGGGCAGCACTCGTTGGCGGGCGCCCTCGGCGAGGAACAGCGGAGGTGGATGGCTCGGCGGGCGGAGCGGGCTTACGGCCACGCCGATAGATGACATTGCCCATCGCATCCGACTGCTCTTTCACCGCCTTGAATTCCTGGGTGAATTCACCGACGGTGTCGCCGAACAGGCCAGCCTGGGATATGGGCGAGTCAAGAAAGCGAACTTTGTCAACGTCGCGCATATCGGCCAGGTTTAGCCAGAGGTGGCGTTCCTGAACCACAAGTGTGGACATCGTCCTCCCCAGCGCACACGCGGCGGACTTAGTAGTCCGAAGAGCATAGTCGGTCGCGGTGCGCAGCTCATGTAATAAGCTTGGGTTGGACCCGCCCTCGTGCAGCTCGGCCAGCGCCTGCGCTTGGTAGCGCTGGTAGGTGGCCATCGCGTGCAAAGCAGAAGCAGCCTGGCCCGCAGCCTTATAAGCTCTGGCTCCGAGGGAGGCAGACAACCTACAGGCTTTGGACGGGAGGCGGGGCAAACCCCGCCACGTAGAGGCGCCGCGCGGACAAAGATTGACCGCGATAGCGCGCTCCACTGACGGGATCGCCTCATACCCCCTGGCAGCTCCGCCGTCAAGGGCGGTGAGGGCGGAGGTACTCGCAGCACGGGCAGAGAAAGGTGCCCTCCAGGACTGCGTGAGCCTACTGTGCACTTCCGGGAAGAAGGGGACGAGAGGCTTCGAAGGCTTCGCCTTCTGGTCCTCTACGTAGCACCCATCTAGTCGGTCCGGCCGCGGAGCTGGGGGATAAACCATCTCCAACCCCACGGCCGAAGCAGCCCGGGAAAGCACGGCTAACATGTCCGCTTCAGGATCCGATTTGACAGCGCTCACCTGCCCGGAGGGGGCGAGCGGGTCCGGATCTTCGTCGGACAGTGAAAGCCCACCCTCCGATGCCGCGGAGGACATCTGATCTCCGGTGTCAGCGAGTGTGAGAGCTACCATCTGGTTAGACGGATCACTCTCACCACCCGAAGCTTGGATGGAGCGCCGTGAGGAGCGAGAGGTCCGCGAGCCCGTGGGCGGCGGATTAGCTCCCGCTGAAACCCTCAGATCTGCCCGAGCGCCCGCTGCTTTTTTAGAACAGGAGGCAACTGGGGTGGCTCGCTCTCTTGCGAAAGTTAGCCGCGATCTTAGCTGTGCAACGGTCATGGCATCGCAATGACGACATGAACCGCCCGCGAGCACCGCATTAACATGCTGGACCCCCAAACATGCAATGCAGTGATCGTGTCCATCATCCGGAGACAGGAAACCCCCGCATCCAGAAACGCACAGTCGGAGCGCCATCCTGAAAAGGACGTGCTGCACGACTGTGTTGCTCTTTTAGGAAAGTTGCAACTATACGCACCGCTCTGGAGGACCGGACCCAAAGAACCGCAGGCAAGGGAGTAACCCAGCTCGACCGTCTGCCACCGCGAAGACCCACTCTGGACCGGGAGACACACTCGTTCGCTCTGAAGTGCTGATCAGCAAGAGGAACCCTCATCGACTCACTCAGAAAGGATCTGAAGCGAAAAGGATGGCGTCTGCTGGCTTCAGGTGTGCTTATATGCTGAGATAATTGCAGATGTCGCACACCTGCGCAAGCTTACGCTGCCAATTAATTTCATTCATTGGCCCGTTCAATACTCTCCAGATAAGCGGCTTCTGATCCGAATCCTCCCATTCATGGCACTGAAGTTCCCCAACCGAAGGGGAACCCCACTGTGTTGGAGTTATCAAAATGCGCACACACGTGTGACGCACTAGAGGGAAGGGCGATTTGTCCGGCGAGGCGGCGACTTGGATTTCCTGACATATCCTGACATTTCATCATTTCATTAAAAAATTACGACGTCACCCTAAGCTAGGCTAAAAAGTGCTCCTGCAAGACCTGGGGATCGATGGAAGGGATTCAAAAGTGGTAAAAACTGTTTAATTCTATGGAAGTAGCCTTTTTTTTTTTTTTTAGAAAAAGTGGAGTCTTTCTCCAGATGCCTGTGAGAACAACATCCTTGCTTAGGGGTGTAGCGACAACTGGGAGTATGTGGGATACGTCCCGTTCACTTTTAGAGCCAAACCATTTAGAAACGAGTGATTAATAGTTATATGAATATAAACTTTTGGATCTCTGTCCCCCCTCGATACACTTTTTAAATGTCCGCTACGCCCCTGCCCCTGCATGTTTTCTTCTGTTATATAATAGGCCTAGGCTACAATAGCAGTTTGATCAGACATACTAAAGAGCTCTTATTGCATCTGCAACAGCATCACTTTCAATTCATCAATAATTTACACGCATTTACAATTTAGAACATTCATTCATTTATTTTCCTTCAGTTTAGTCCCTTATTTATCAAGGTTCACCAGATATGAACCTATAGCAGATGTTTTACGCAGAGGATGCCCTTCCAGCTAAAATCCAGTACTGGGAAACACCCATACACACATTTCTTTCTTTTTCATTTTTATCTTTATTGCATGACCTATTTAGTTTTGACTGTAAAATATGTTAAAATTCTTCAACAACAACAACATAAATCCTGGAATCCTTTGATTTGTTATTCCCAATATCTCTATGTTCTTATAGAAAGTTTTCATGTGATATTGCAGGAGTTAAAGAGCTAAATTTACTAGGATAGTTAGAGGAGAGTTGTAACACTACCAGTTTCACAAATCAGGCATAAGATAGGGGTCATAACATTTTCAGTTTCCTCAGGTATCCTTAACAATCACACATGGAGATTTTCCAGTCAGTCTTGCTATTTCTCCAGAAGCTACAACAGAAAATCAAATTCTGAGGTAAGAAAGTAAAAATAAATAGCAAGATAATATTTAGTTTAGTACCTCTACCATTGTAGATGATGCTATATGAGTTATATCAGATCAAACTGTAGTTTCTCTAGTAAAGAACGGTGTATAAACCTCCGGCTAATTTCAAAGCACCATGCTAATACAGCTAGCTTGGGTGACAGTGGCGGGATAGGTTAAAACACGCGCTTTGAAAGTATACAAACACTTACACACACATACATATGTACAGACATGCACACACAAACGCACATGTGCATGCTCAAACACACACAATATGCACACACACATGCAATATTCACATTTATTGTATTGTTGCAGTCATTTATTTACAATTAAGCTGTTGTTGTGGCATATCACTTGTAGTACGCTTAGTTTTTGTGTATTTTGTCTATCAGTTACAACTTACCCCAGTATGTGTTACAACCTACCCAGTAGTGGGGTAGCTTGTAACAAATGACCACTTTGTGTTTTTCATCATCTCACAAAGTCTGTGATACAGTTTAAGACATTTAAATAGTTGATATTTGTAGTAGACAAATGTGGGTACTTTGCCTAAAATTTTGTCATGTAGCTTATAAAAGGGTAGTTTTAGGTGCTAAAGTAAAGTTGTGTTACAATCATCCCTGGTCTCCCCTAATGTTTAGAAGAATAGTGGGTGATAGTTGAGCAGGATGAACATTAAGCGGGGTGAGCGAGTGTTTTCTTTTAATGCTAAATTTCTCTTGAACTACCTCACTATTGTATTGTATCTTTCTAGTGAATGTTTAAATAGTTTATAAACAGAATATAGTTGATTTCTGATTTAATTTAATACAAGTCAGAGATCACAGTGTCATTTTTCTTGAGTATGTGTTCATTTCCTCATTTGTGTTGCTGTTCCTCTTTAGTCGATGCTTGCACCACTTTTCACAACTAAGACTCACTTCTGACACATCTGACTTGTCTGCCTCCCCTCATGCACCCTTCAGTTCTACATCTGACAGATCATGATGGATTGGTACTCCTACATCAGTTTATGCATCTTCTGTGGTAAGATTATGTCTTCTTTTCTGTATTTCTTTGATTAGTTATTTAATCTCACAACCAACATAGTCTATTTCAGCTGTCTTCTTGCGTTGCAAAAGCTTTTGTTGCATCTTGCAAGATTGTAAATAGTGAGAGGCAAGAAGATACATCCTCAATATAAATAGTTGCATGATTGCACTAAGCAAAATTTGCTAAACACTCTTCATATTCTAAATTGGTTCATGTTTAAAGCTGTGTGAAATGCATTTTGATTGCTCATGATTGTATGATACACTCAGAAATAAAGGTTCGAGAGCTGTCACTGGGCCACACCTTTTCAAAACACACATTTGTACTTAAAGTCTCCATATTGGTACCTCAAAGGCATTTACTTGTACCTACAAATTTTAAGAGGTACTTTTGTATTTTTTAGGTACTAATATGTACCCTTGAGGTATCTTTAGGGACCCTTTAAAAACAAATATGTACCTTTTGAAAAGGTACCACCTCAGTGACAACCTGTCATATTCTTTGAAGTTGAATGGCTAAATCAGCACACATCTATCACTGTATGAAGTGTATAAATGTTAATCTTTAGTTATTCAACATTCAGAAATGCAAAAAAAGTGTATAAAACCTTTCTGTGATGGAAAGATGAAAATATCCTTTTAAGGCAAGAACAAATAGCCTAAACTTCCTTTTCTAAATATTCCCTCAGATCTAATTCTGCCTTGTGAGCTTTCTGCTGGCACACATTTATATTACACATTTAACCATATGAAAAAGGAACTGCAAAAAATAACGCATATGCTCATGACTGTCTGCAGTTCTCACAATAATTTATTAGTTGAAGTGTAGTGTGTTTTTTATCTTTATTTTTTTAAATACATGGCTGCAATGCTTATGCAAGGTAATTTTATTCAACCCGGGCTCATTGTGGAAACGTAGTCCAGCGGACGTTTCTGGAGAGCGCGGAATACGTCCTGGCGGGTACGTACGGTTGCAGTTTTTGTTTTTGCGAATCCACGAGAGGCCGCCGTTGTGCGCTTTTTCTCATCTCGAACGTCTCTCGCGAGTGCGGTTTGCGCCCGCGCTGTTCTCGCGTCAACCCGCCAGAGGCCGCCAGAGGCCGCTGTCCGACTGACCGGATGATTGACTGCGCGACCGGCCAATCGGCTGACCGCCCTCCTCTTTCCCTAAACCCAAACAATTTTACCGATCGACCCGCCCGCCCGCTCGCTTCCCTGAACCCGAGCAACAGTTTACAAAAGCCGTCCAAAAAACTAAAAGCCCTGATTTTTTTAGTTTTTTTTTATTCCACCGCGTTTTCGGATTTCGTTCTCACCCTGTCACGAAATTCGTTCACTTAATTTTTGGGATTCTGTTTTTGTCTTACCTGATTGCTGGAACTGCTGTCCCCCGGACTCGAAACCGATCGCCGTGGTCGACTTCTCCTCTCTGCGTCTCGAGCCTGCCGACGTTACACGGTGAGCTGAGTGGACAAACGGGTTGCAGCGGGGAAGCCCTCCACAAGGAGGTGAGCGGTCAGCCGGCGAGCGCGAAAGGAAAACAGCGTCACACCGCCCCACAGTGTTCGCTTGAAAAAAAATAAATGCAGCAGTACGTACCTCCCGGGACGTATTCTGTCTCCAGAAACGTCCGCGGGACTACGTTTTCAGAATGAGCTTGGGTTGATTTTATTACACAATGGCCATTGTTTATGCTACACGTTGATTTGTTCTAGTAGCTGTAAAGTTGCATCACCAGTGAAAACATCCACTCATAACAATGTCAATTTAGTATCTAGTTATTATTTCAGTATTTTCTATCAATTCTCTTTAGTGCCTCAGTCAGTGATGACTTTTAACGTGGATCATGCTGCCTGGAAAACTTTCACTGCACCACTGACCAATAATGTTGCCTTTGGCTACAAGGTGATACAAGAAGACATGACAAGGTGAGAGCAACATAACCACTAATGATAAGATTCATTATTTTAAAAGTGCAGCATTGCTGGACCTCACTAAATTAAAAAAAATAAAAATAAAAAAAAAACATAGGCAACCTATGAGACAGAAAGAATTCATCTCACCAACATCAGTCAACCTTCACTGAGTGTCTTGTTTTTGTCTTAAAACATAAATCTGAAATAGATTCAGCTGTGGGAAAAAAAAAGTGTATTATGTGCTCTGTTGCACTCGGTAATTATACAAGTTATTGAAATATTTATAGTGAAATTAGGACTTCCAACTCATCATCAAAGTGTGTTTGACTGCAGCACCCCCTGTTGGTAAATATTTAACATACAGAATTATAGACTTGGCATGTGTTTAGATTGACTGTAGAAAGAATGAAATTGGTTAAAAAATTGAGAAAAATGAAGAAATACGAACGAAGATGTTCAAAACAGCAAGCGATTGTACTTGTACTCATTTCTGTTTTATTTACACTGTGTGAATTGTGCACTTTTCTCCAAGCATGTAATACTCCGACAATTTCATAACAAAAAAACAATTTGTTGATGGTCTTCTAAAAGCTAATTCTGCTCAGAAAAGCCGCATTTATTTGACAAACTGTGAAATAATATTACTATTATTATGTAGTTTTTTTATTTAATTTATTTCTATGATTCAAAGCTAAATTTTCATTATTATTACTTCAGTCTTGAGTCTCACGATTCTTCAGTAATCATTATAATATGTTGATCTGCTGTTCTATTATGATCAGTTATTATTGGTAGATATTATTATTGTACTTTTTGGGGGATTGAAACTTCCTCAGCCCCAGCATAGCCTAAAGGAGCTATAGGAAACATAGGAAATCTCTTAAGTGAATTGCTGGTTACATGTATTTTAACACATATTCTTTGTGTTTTTCTTATAGACTGACTGTGAGTGATCCTTTAATTCAAATCAATCGTGATGAAAGAGGACAGATTTATAGTTGTGATGTCAATCGAGGAACCTGCTCATCATTGAATATTTATGGTAATTTTGGATTTTATACTGCAGTATTACATAACTGAAATATTATATGCAGTTCTCCACTAATAGGTTATATAGGGTATAGGCATCATGAGGCTTTGTCATTTTCTTATACAGCAAATGAAGATTACTATATAGTAAATTCTATATGAGCTCTTACATTGGATTGATATACAATATATTGATAAAGCTGTCACCACCAGCATAATAACCAGCAGGGAAAGAAATGCATTTGCTAGGGACCCATCTTTAGCTGGCCTCTGGTGGACAGTAGCAGCCTCTGAAATGAGACGCAAATTCAGAGTTCCACATGAGGTGGTTATTAATTAACAAATAATATAAATATTACAAATGTAAACATTAGGAGAGCAGGTTACATTGTAACCGCGTGTCCTAACAACACGCTTCGTGACGAGATTTGCAGTGATTAGCAATTGAGCTGTTTACACCAGACAAAACACGATAGAAATTTAAAAACTGCACTCCAATGAAATGGTAAGGTTTAGGTCTAATTAATACATATTAAATCTCTTTAGCATTATCAAATGTAGATGCTGAATCACTCATGTGTTAGTTTGCAAAGTCACAGTTCTAAAGTTTAATTTCAAAGGGTTTATGTTATTTTTAAGATCTGAAGTGAACTATCTGCTGCTGCTTTCTGTAGTACAGCAATAAATGTCATGTAAAATGGCATTTAAACGCACATTGTTAGCATTTAACACTGAATAAAGCACATGGGGTGTACCTGAAGTGATCAAGAAGCTTTAGAATATAAATTTCAGGTGTTGGTTAGGACAAAAACTCTTTTTAAAATGGAAAATATTCCTTCTATTGCTTGTCGTTGCTTTGAACCTGCAAAAAGAGGATCGGGTAAATACAGGATCAAATATTGAATTTTACTTCAGATGTTTTAAGTACACGTAAATGTTATTTGTGTAAAGTTTCATCTCAAAGTTTTTTATGTATGCATGTAGGTAGAGTTCCCTCTGAAGCAGTCAACATGTCTTTAGGACTTTCCATGGTTAAAGATCCAGGCTCTTCAAAGCTGGTGGTAAGTTAGATATCAGTAAAAAAAAAAATTATTAATGAAAAACAAAAAACAAACAAAACAAAAAAACACACACCTGATATAACTATTTAACACTTCTAGATGACTAAAGTCATAAATATATTTTCATTGCTATGGTGGCAAATTAATATATTGTATATTATACATAAAGTATGAATGTGTGTGTGTATATACACAGTTGAAGTCAGAATTATTAGCCCCCCTTTGAACATATATTTTTTCTTTTATAATTATTTCCCAAATGATGTTTAACAGAGCAAAGACATTTTCACAGCACGTCTGTAATATTTTGTCTTCTGGAGAAAGTCTTATTTGTTTTATTTCGGCTAGAATAAAAGCAGCTGTAAACATATTAAAAACCATTTTAAGGTCAAAATTATTTACGCCTTTAAGCTATATTTCTTTTTGATTGTCTAAAGAACAAACCACCATTATACAATCTTACCCTAATTAACCTAGTTAAGCCTTTAAATGTCACTTTAAGCTGTATAGAAGTATCTTAAAAAATATCTTGTCAAATATTATTTACTGTCATCATGACAAAGATAAAATAAATCAGTTATTAGAAATGAGTTGTTAAAAGTATTATGTTTAGAAATGTGTTAAAAAAAAACTTCTCTCCGTTAAACAGAAATTGGGGAAAAAATAAACAGGTGGGTGAATAATACAGGGGGGCTAATAGTTCTGACTTCAACTGTGTTTAGAACATTTGTACATGTTGTGATTAATTGTAAATGTATAATACCTTGAATAAAATGACTAAGCCAAAATAAATAAATAAATAAATAAATAATAAATAAATGAAAGAATGTATAATACATCGTAAATGTTCTTTCATAAGATTGAGTTGAAAATTTACTCTACATATGTACTTTATTTTAAATGTTAAAAGACAAAAATAGTGTGTTTTATGCTTAGTAATAATTAGATTGGAGTGTTTGGAATGAGAAAAAGTATTTTAACTTTTGTTTTAGATGCATAATAAAATGTTTTTTTTGTTGTGTAAATAATATGTGCTTTTCACAATATTAAAATTCATGTTAAATTCCATCTCGTCCAGGTTTGTGGTCCAACCATTCCAAAGAACTGTCCAGGAGTGTCCACCTACAATGGCATGTGCTTTGTTAATGAACACAGAAGAAGTTTTACAGGTCCAATACCCAGCTCTCTGAGAGGTAAATAGGATGATCATCTCTCTCTCTCTCTCTCGTAACTAGTTTCTTTTGTCTTTGGCATGATGATTATTTATGTTATTTTTATGTTATTTTGCAAGTATTACACTTAAAGTACAATTTAAAGGCTTAACTAGGTTAATTAGTTTAATTAGGAAAGTTATTGGACAACAGTGGTTTGTTCTGTAGCCAGTCGAAAAAAGGGGCTAATAATATTGACATTAAAAATATTTGTAACTTTTTTTTTGCAAAACCAAACAAACAGAAACAAGACTCTATTCAATATATATAATAAATTGAATATTATGTTAATATATAATATTTTATTATATTATGTACGTGTGTTTGCGTGTGTGTGTGTATGTGTGTGTGTGTGAGTGTTTGTCAAACTTTCATTCAACATGCATAAATCATTATCTGAAAATGTGATGCAAATCTTCTTTTCTCCAACCTCAGAATGCCCCAAATCACAAATTGATATTGCTTTTTTATTGGATGGATCTGGAAGTGTAGATCCTGTGGATTTTAATAAGATGAAGGCTTTTGTTGTAGAAATGATCAAGAGTTTTATAGACCGTGACACACAGGTATGATTTTAAGTGCATTCATTAAGATATTGCATTTGCATGGTTTTTAACTCCAATTTTCTTACCATCAAGCAATGAACCTTTCTTTCTCACAGTTTGCAATAGCACAGTTTTCTACAGAATGTGTCATTCATTACAAGTTTCAACAAGTCAAAAACCCTGCCTGGTGGCAAAGAGCAGTGAATGGGATACAACAAACACATGGATGGACTTTCACTGCAACAGCTATAAGACTGCTTGTGTAAGACTGATGTAGTAATGCTCACAGAGCTACTGTACACATGTTGGACTTAAGCCACAAGTCCATTTTATAACAGTGCCAGTCATCTTTGTTTGTATAATTTTGTTAAATCTATAAAAATAAACAGCCTTGGAAAGCAATAGCAGAGGAAGAAGTGTGCTAAAATATATTTTTTGCTTTATATTATCAATGAAAATAGTTGCATAAACCTCAGACTTCCAACTCAAAAAACAAAAATGATTCTGTGTTTTCTCTGAATAGACTTCTGTTTGGCTGTTTGTGTGAACAGTTTTGAACTTGTGGCTTCAGTTCTAACTTTATAGCTTGAGTAAATTATATTATGTTTATATTTGTGAACTCAACCTGTGCAAAGTTATGGTGTTTTTGTATAGAAAAGAATACTATTTTTCTTTCTTTTTGCAGAAGACATTAAGTAAATTAGTACTTGTGTGAAAATAGAGTTTAAGAACTGAATTAATGGTTTTGAAAAATATGCCAATTGAATCAGGAACGGTGTGTTAGCAATTGAGAAAAGCTGTGAACAAATTAATTTATTGCATTTTTTATTTTTACATTTCTCTGTTCAAAATATTACATTTAAAAGGCACATAGTTTACCCCTTTTTATGTTTTAATATTAATATTATGGTTGTTCTGAGTGTGCCAGTTTAAGTTCAGTTCAACACACATTTCAGATGTTTTTATTATAATGTGTTAAAAAGTGTCATGTTGGGGGCGTTTACACAGTTTGCTGTTTAGGGGCGTGTTGCTTCACAGTTTCGGCTTCTCGCCCAATGTAACAAGGGGGCGGAGACAAGAGCTCCCACGCTCTGTGTTTGCAACAGACAGGCAGACAGACAGAAGGAGAAGCTAAGCTATGCTAGGATGAGCATTCAGCCGTACATGTACGAGTCGCACACAGACCAAGCAGAGAGTACAAAAACATTTGTGTCTTTGTATAACGTTAGTCTCGGTGTAAAAGTGCCGAGCTTGTACACCGAGACTAATAACCACACACACTGAATTAACTTAAGCTCGGCCGTGTGCATGCCGACAGAAACCCAGGCAGCACTGACCCGAAGCTCGCTGCGTGCAGCCCTACAGAAACCCATGCAGCACCGAGCCGCTGACCCGAAGCTCGCTGCGTGCAGCCCGACAGAAACCCACGCAGTGCCCTGCCGCTGACCCGAAGCTCGCTGCGTGCAGCCCGACAGCAACCCACGCAGCGCCGAGCCACTGACCCGAAGCTCGCTGCGTGCAGCCCGACAGAAACCCACGCATCGCCGAGCCGCTGACCCGAAGCTCGCTGCGTGCAGCCCGACAGAAACCCACGCAGCGCCGAGCCACTGACCCCAGGTCGCTGCGTGCAGCACGACAGAAACCCACGCAGTGCCGAGCCGCTGACCCGAAGCTCGCTGCGTGCAGCCCGACAGAAACCCACGCAGCGCAGAGCCGCTGACCCCAGGTCGCTGCGTGCAGCCCGACAGAAACCCACACAGCGCCGAGCCGCTGACCCGAAGCTCGTTGCGTGCAGCCCGACAGAAACCCACGCAGCGCCGAGATGCTGACCCCAAGTCGCTGCGTGCAGCCCGACAGAAACCCACGCAGCGCAGAGCCGCTGACCCCAGGTCGCTGCGTGCAGCCCGACAGAAACCCACACAGCGCCGAGCCGCTGACCCGAAGCTCGTTGCGTGCAGCCCTACAGAAACCCATGCAGCACCGAGCCGCTGACCCGAAGCTCGCTGCGTGCAGCCCGACAGAAACCCACGCAGTGCCCTGCCGCTGACCCGAAGCTCGCTGCGTGCAGCCCGACAGCAACCCACGCAGCGCCGAGCCACTGACCCGAAGCTCGCTGCGTGCAGCCCGACAGAAACCCACGCATCGCCGAGCCGCTGACCCGAAGCTCGCTGCGTGCAGCCCGACAGAAACCCACGCAGCGCCGAGCCACTGACCCCAGGTCGCTGCGTGCAGCACGACAGAAACCCACGCAGTGCCGAGCCGCTGACCCGAAGCTCGCTGCGTGCAGCCCGACAGAAACCCACGCAGCGCAGAGCCGCTGACCCCAGGTCACTGCGTGCAGCCCGACAGAAACCCACGCAGCGCAGAGCCGCTGACCCCAGGTCGCTGCGTGCAGCCCGACAGAAACCCACACAGCGCCGAGCCGCTGACCCGAAGCTCGTTGCGTGCAGCCCGACAGAAACCCACGCAGCACCGAGATGCTGACCCCAAGTCGCTGCGTGCAGCCCGACAGAAACCCACGCAGCGCAGAGCCGCTGACCCCAGGTCGCTGCGTGCAGCCCGACAGAAACCCACGCAGCGCCGAGCCGCTGACCCGAAGCTCGTTGCGTGCAGCCCGACAGAAACCCACGCAGCGCCGAGCCGCTGACCCCAAGTCGCTGCGTGCAGCCCGACAGAAACCCACGCAGCGCAGAGCCGCTGACCCCAGGTCGCTGCGTGCAGCCCGACAGACACCCACACAGCGCCGAGCCGCTGACCCGAAGCTCGTTGCGTGCAGCCCGACAGAAACCCACGCAGCGCCGAGCCGCTAACCCCAAGTCGCTGCGTGCAGCCCGACAGAAACCCACGCAGCGCAGAGCCGCTGACCCGATGCTCCACCGCATGCACGCCGACAGAAACCCACGCCCAGAACTCCGAAATGCACAGCACCACGCAATAGGTACAAGCAATAATTCCGATTACAGCGATAATGTGGAGAATATTAATCTTGGGTTGAGCCCAATGAGCCTTTCATCTAAAAATAGAGCACAGGTGTTCCTTTAGCGATATCGCTTTGACTCACACGCTGAAAATGGCGGACGTGCAACAAGATACTGAGGATATGATCGTGACGCAAGGCTGTCAATCAATATTGGTGGGCGGGGGGACCGCACTCCTACGTAAAGTTGCGGTCGGTCTAAAAACCGCTTCAATTGGTCCACCGTTTTTATTTTTGTTGTTAAATTGAAGAAAAAAAAAGGGCTGTGTGTGTTTATTTTACACCAATATGAAGGTCAATACACTATACTTGCACACATGTCTTTCCAAACAGCTTGAAAAGTAGATTTTTCACCATAGGTGCCCTTTAAGGCAACAAAATCTTATTATTCATGCAATGCCCCTATTATCTTTATTAAACAGTTTGTGAAAGCAAATATCATGACACTTTTAATGGGAAAAGTATTCTCAAGTTTTTTAGCCTAGAGCTACTGTAGATGTATCATGGGTAGTGTAGTTCAGAAGAAGTGTGCTCACATGTTTTATTATTAATATTTTGTATGATTTTCTATGTAAACAGGGAGTCATTATTTGTAAGTAGTGGAGGTGCAAGACAATCAGCCAGTAAAATTCTGGTCGTCATCACGGATGGAGAATCAAACGATAAATTTTTGACTGAAGCTGTTCAACAAGCACAAGAAAAAAGTATAACACGATATGCAATTGGGGTAAGACATCATATTTTTTGCTTTTAGCATTTTGCTTCTGTTAGAGATAGTTCACCCCAAAATATAAATAACTGTCAAAACAAAATGAATTCCCATGTCTAATATAACTGCATTAGCCTCAGACAAATGTTTCCAATTCATGTCGAATTTGAATTCTTTTTTTCTTAGTAAGTAAATTATCAGCTAACTTTCTTTATAGGTGAACTATCCATTTAAACATCTTTGATACTGTTCAAAAACTGTTAATTAAATGTATTTTATTACACTAAACAAATGCCCTATTTTGCATCATACTAAACATGCTGTAGTCAATAATTGTAAAAAAATGAGTCTGTACAGTAACTTTAAATGAAAGGGCTGCATGAGTTATAACAAGATTTTAAGTTGACAATGTACAAGATAGATACAAGATCTGATGATAGCTACTTTGAAAGTGTTGGAAATTAACTGTTTGTTTTCCAAACTTTGTTTCATTTCATAGGTCGGTAATGCTTTCAATAAATACAGTGCAAGAAATGAGCTAACGGTTATTGCATCCATACCCACCGATAAGCATGTGTTCAAAGTTACCGATTTTGATGCTCTGGAAAGCATTCGGGAAATACTTAAAGAGAACATTATTGCCATCGAAGGTATGTTTGCAGTGGGAATGCATTCTTACATTTTACAGTTATCTGATCTTGTAAGGACAGTCAGATTGTTTATTAATATATGGTAATAAAAACAATAGTTATTTCTGTTGATGTCACTTTTATTTGCTAGGAACCCAGACGTCTGGAGATTCATCTCGAATGGAGTTTGCACAGGATGGGTTTAGTGCAGCACTGACATCAGATGTAATTCCAACACATTCATTCATTCATTCATTCATTTTCTTTTCTGCTTAGTCCTTTTATAAATCCGGGGTCGCCACAGCGGAATGAACCGCCAACTTATCCAGCACATATTTTGCGCAGCGGATGTGCTTCCAGGTGCAACCCATCTCTAGGAAACATCCACACACACTTATTCACACTCACACACTATGGACAATTTAGCCTACCCAATTCACCTGTATCACATGTCTTTGGACTGTGGGGGAAACCCATGCGAACGCAGGTAGAACATGCAAACTCCACACAGAAACGCCAACTGACCCAGCTGAGGCTCGAGCCAGCGACCTTCTTGCTGTGAGGCGACAGCACTACCTACTGCGCCTCTCTAATTACAAAACACTTGTTTTAAAATTTTATCCAAATATGAAAATTCTCGATTTAATCAATATGCTTGATGATGGTCAATATTCACTGACATTCAGAGCAGAGTGTTTTTTTCTTTTTGCATTCAGTCATTCAGTCATTTGCTTTCAGCATTCTTCATTCGGTGCATTTATTTTTTTAAATCTGCTTTTGTGGTTAAAAAAAACAATAAATTTGAATGGCAAAAGACAATATATATATATATATATATATATATATATATATATATATATATATATATATATATATATATATATATATATATATATATATATTGGGGGTAAACTAACCATTCAGTTAACTCATAGGTCTCAAACTGGATTCCTGGAGGGCTGCAGCGTTTTGCTCCAACCCAAATCAAACACAGCTGATCCAACTAATCAAGCTGGTCAAGAATACTAAAGACTATTAAGCCGGAATGAGTTTAAGGTGGTTTGAGCTAAACTGTGCAGAACTACGGTCCTCCAGGAATTGAGTTTGAGACCATTGATTTATCTTAATGACAGTAAACCAATGAAAAGGACACAATATGGAGTATGAATCTGTCATTACCAAATGGCCTTATTGTTCTGTTGAATTGTTTTACCCCAAATTTAATTTTGTCATTTGTGATTTTAAAATTAGTATGTATTATATTTCATTTAACAACAGTTCGCTTAATACTATCATTAAATGAAAACTATATATGGTTGAATGATTTGTGACCACTGGCAAACTGCTTTGAAACCATATGTACAGTGAAAAGTAGTATAATTGAACTATAAATATCTGCAATGTTTGCAGTTTTGATCGTTTAACTACACTTCATTCACTCATTCATTCAATCAATCATTTTCAGCTTAGTTCCTTTATTAATCAGGGGTCACCACAGCGGAATGAACCACCAACTTATCCAATACTGGGAAACACCCATAGACTTTCACATTCACACTCATACACTTTGGTCAATTTAGTTTATTCCCCTATAGCGCATGTGCTTGGACTGTGTGGGAAACCGGAGCACCCAGAAGAAACCTACACCAACACAGGGAAAACATGCAAACTCCACACAAAAACAGCAACAGCCGGGGCTCGAACCAGCAGCCTTCTTGCTGTGAGGCTGGAAGCCACTGCACCACCGTGCCACCCTAACTACACTTCAACTTCAATGTAAAACATTAATAGAGATAGCTTATCTGAAAATGTTTATTTTTATTCTTTAATGCTCTCTGCACAGACGGATTTGATCATGACTGCAGTTGGAGCTTTTCAGTGGAAAGGTGGATATCAGCTCTTCAAATTAAACGACCAGACAAGTGTCTTTCAAGCTGGAAGTGAGCATAACAGTTATTTAGGTGAGATCTCGTTGTGAACAAAAAAAAAAATTGCCACATTACAACACATAAGATCCTTTTTGAAAATCTACTTCAATTCACAGGTTACTCCCTGGCAATAGCGACAGTGTATAATACGAAGTATGCAGTCATGGGGGCGCCAAGACACAAGCATGAAGGACTAGTTACAGTTACACGAATTGATCGAATGAGCGATCAAATCCAACTGGATCCTCCCAAGGTTTTAAGCTCAATTTCTTGTTTTATTAATGTCTAAAAGCAATAACTAAATGACTAAAAGCAATGACCAAAAGCAATGCCTTTTTTACACTAGGTAAAAAGATGCATGATTTGACACATACCTTTTAAAATCTTAAGTTTTAATCTATGTCTTTTGTCTGCTTTTGACCACTTTACATATTTCCTTAATGAGAGGGTCAGCTTTATATACCGTTGTCAGGTTAAATAATGTTGTGCTTTCAACATTATTCATAATTAAACCAAACTCAAACAACATGAAAACTAATAAAGTAACCCAGTCAAATGTGTTTTAGAAGTGTTCAAAAGTGGACAAAACCATTCATCTCTATTAATACCTGCAAATACCCTTGACCACTTTTGTGGACAATTACATGTAAAATAAAAATATGAATAAAAAAAACAACAATAATGCTTCTTGATGCAAGTTGTAAACTGTATGCAAGCTCAGATTAGAGTGCAATTAAATTATATCAGTTGCCTTGCACTCTTTTGTCAGACTCAGATTGGCTCTTATTTTGGAGCTGAGGTGTGTGTGGTGGATTTGAACAGTGACTCTAATACAGATCTGCTTCTGGTATCAGCACCGACATACACAGAGTCTGAGCGAGAGGGGAAAGTGTTTGTTTATAGCTACACACGTCGGGTAAGTGATCTTTAAGAAAGTCAATAATAATTGTAATACAAAAATAACTAATCAACAGAGTTTGCCTCTGTGTGTGTTTAACCCATTTTTATCTTCTCTGTGTTATATACTGTATGTATATATTTTCATAGCCATTCTTCAGTTTTTCTGATGTGGTGCTGGTGGGCATGGCCGGTCAGAGGGGTCGATTCGGCTCTTCTCTGGCCAGTCCAGCAGATCTGAATGGTGATGGTTTTAAGGATGTGCTGGTTGGTGCACCGTTAGAGGAGGATGGAAAGGGTAGCATCTACATCTTCAATGGACGAGATGGAGGGATCATTTCATCATACTCCCAGGTGAAAAAGGCATCAGTTACTAGAAATTTAAAAGGATAGTTCACCTTAAAATGAATTTTACTATTATTCATTAATTCGGTATATTAAGGCTCCAAAATAATGCATCAGTTAAGCATTAATTTATAGTTAAATTGTTCACATTTAAGCATTAGTTAAGAAAAAAAACACTAATTAATGGTTAACTTAACATTTTAAGGGAATTATGCATTAGTTAAGCTAAGTTAAACTAAGCTGTTCCCAATAATGCATCAGTTCAGCATGTAAAAACACACAATTAATGATTAACTGAACATATGGAAAAGGGCATTTTAACTATTAACATTTTGACAAGCCTTATTTTTTTATTCATTGTCTAATAAAGGTGCAGTAGGTTATCTGCCAGAATGCTAGTAGCATAATAGCTTATGGACAGTTTCCACTGACTGGTACAGTACAGTATGAGTCAGTACGGGTCACCTTTATCAAGCTTGCATTTCCACTTTGGTGGGTGTGTTGTACGACAGAGAGTTTCATTCGACGTCATTCTCGCTTGAATAAAGGTCTACATTAAAGCCGTACAGGTCGTTTACAAATAATTTTCTCACAAAACAGATGCTTTATACACAAATACTTGTTTATTACTAACTTTTCTAAGAACATGAGTTGATTATAACTGCAGATTAATGACAGTGTGAAATTGCTTACTCTAACGTCTGCAATTAAATAAAATAAATAAATGCAACATATATGAACACATACAAAAAACCCTGCAGTCTCCGATATGTTACCAATTACAGAGAAACTACACACAACAGACATTTAGTCCTTATTTAGGTTCAAAAACAACACGCAATATAGCCCACAGTCAGTGTAAACCTCTTATCAGTGTCTGTAATATTCACCAGCACATGTAAGCTCTGTTAGAGAGCAATTCTGTCATTCTGAGTTCATAATAGTCCAAAAGGTGATGATAAACATGGCATTTTGTTCATGATTCGGGTTGCTGAAACAACTTGCTCCTGTGTTTTGTCTTTTTTCTCATTTTTTCACACTTCACTCTCGCGTTTGGCCTTTTCTTTTCTGAAAGGATCAGATGTCAAAGACACTTCAATAATCCCACACAGGTTATTATCATCAGCTAAAAAAGTTCATTATAACAAATATAGACTCGATCACTAGCTCCCTGGAGAAAGTGAAAACCACTTGCACTTTTTGACGAAGAAACGTTACGTCCCTCTCCTGCCGTCCAAAATCATGTCTCTTAAAATCATGAATGCGCATTGATTAGATATAACACTTGATCATGTCATCACCAGTTATAAAACTAATGGAGACACGCACTTTATCAAGCATAGTTGTTGACAGGCCAATGGGTGTGACAGGCCAATGGGTGGCTGTGTCACAGACTTTCACTGTTCAAAAATGAACAAATGTATGACTATATTTCAACTTCACCTCAGTAAAGCTGGTTGGGCGGAAGAGCACATTTACCAATGTTTTGTTATTAAACTAAATAAAAATTAGATCAGAAAAAAGCAGTGCTAAAAAACAAAAATATCCTATCATCTTTTTAAATTACCCTTACGTTTATGTTACCAAGCCAACGAGTGACTTTTCATTTTCAGTTGTGCTCGCTGATCCTCGTACATCGCTTGTTTTTAGCTCCTTTTTCACTTAAACAACTAAACAACGAATGCTCAGGTCTACTTAATCGACTATATTATCGATGCTGTAAAAGGTACTCCATGAACTTGAAAATAGCCAATCTTTTGCTGGACGTTTTCTGTGGCTGAACAACACTGTCGTGTATATAAACTAATTCATAAAAAACAACACAATCTACGTAAGCTTTGCGTGGCTAAAATAGTTTTTAAACATACCTGTCTAAAAGAAATACTTCAGTTGTGGTGTGTCACCCTTCAGATCGTTGTTTTGAACTGCATACAGTCATTGCCCTCCAGCGTGCAAAAGTAATTCCAATATTGATTGAGGGTTTAGAAAAGTTTTGATTCTGCATTTTTGGCAGAAGCCCTTTCAGAAACAATCTTTTTTTCGTGAATAGAAGGCCATGCTGGTCTATCAGAAAGAAGTTCAGGTTGATGCAGAGTTTTCCTGACGTCTCTCTGTCAGCTGTAGGTCCGTGCTTCACGTGTGCGTGACATAACTGTTTGCTTAAAGATGCTGCGCAGAAATTTAAATTTGTTGACAGACAGTTTGAGATGCCTGTCGTAATTGAGTTATTTGTCGGTACGACTCTATTTAATTGGATGAACATTTTTTGTTTTTATGCCTTATCCAGAATATAAAAAATACATGTGAACACATTTAGATCATTTACTTTAATCATTACTATTGGACTGTGAAGAGACTTTCAACCAGCACAGCAATAAATGCTTCTGAAGACAATCACCTACTGCACCTTTAAGATAACTGATCAACACGATAGTAATTATATTTAAATACAGCTGGTTTGCAATGATATGTGGGTAGAATAGTGCAATGAACATTATAATATATGATAATATTAATAGTGTAATAAAAATATTGGTTATAATGCCCTTTTCTATATGTTTAGTTTTAATTATGTGTTTGCACATGCTTATCTGATGCATAACTGTGAACTAGTAAATCCAACAATGATTTATAAGTTCAACTGAGCTTAACTAATGCATAACTTGAAGCACTTAAAATGTTTAGTTACCCATTAATTACTAGTGTTTTTGTTTTTAACTAATGCTTAAATGTGAACAAATTAACTTTTAATTACTGCTTAACTAATGCATTATTTTGGACCCTTAATATAAACTGTTATCATTCATTCTAATGGTTCTCTTTCCTTGGACTTATTTTCTTTTACTCATTTCAAAGGTTCAGTGTCATTTTTCATTTAACATTTTAATTCCCTCTTCCCTTCACTGTGTCTAATGGCAGAGGATTGCTGGATCATCTGTGCAGTCAGGATTGCAGTACTTTGGTGTTTCCTTGAGTCAATCCTCTCCAGACCAGACTGCAGACAGCCTTCCTGACATTGCTGTTGGGTCCAAAGGAGCAGTTCTGCTTCTCAGGTCTGTTACGAGAACTCATAATATACACAGATACACAGTTCAGCTTAGGCCATTTCAGCCATATGTGTTATATGTGCATCACTCAGGTCCAGACCCATCATGCTCTTGGAAACAAAAGTGTCTTACAACCCATCCAAAATATCAACTGGTCACACAGATTGCAAAAACCAATTGCAGACCACTCTGATCGTGTGCTTCACCATGAAAGGATACAGGCATCACAAAAGAGGTTTATCCATAAGTTGATTACAATGTGCTGTAACAACACACTTTGTCATATCTTCTGCTGTTGTTTGTGATATTCTGGTTACATTTTCAAATCCACTGTTGCATTGCTAATCATTTGGATCAATCACGTTTTATAGATTTGAATGCAAAAATTACTTACAACATAACTCTGGATGCTAAGAGACAGAATCATCGAGCATTCTTCTCAGCCAAAGACAATCTCCTCAGTAATGTGATTGACATTGGGAATACAGAAGTTTGCAAAAATCATGATTTCTTAATAGAGGTATGCTTCAGCTGCTGAGGTGTGATGGATACATATGCGGTGACACAAGAATGATTGAAACATATTTAATTGTTATTATTATTTTTTGTTTCCACTATAGGCTTGTCCAGAAGATGCTCTGAATCCATTGTCCAATCAGTTAAAATTCACCTTTGAGGGTCTGCCATCTAGTCAAATGCAAAACCTGAGGCCAATACTGCTGCCAGAGATAAAGACCACCTCAGATCACGATGTAAGAGTTCATCTGTGCAAAGTTACAAGAGGAAATAATGCACACACCTTCCAGTTTCAAATATTGTATTATTAAATTTAAGGTATTTTTAAGTAAAAATGTATTATACAATCGGAGAGACTTCGGTCACTTTACTGACATTCTGTTTACTCAAAATTAGTGGCATTTTCAAAATCACAAAGAGACACAAAAGTTAAAGATGTGTAAATAGTCTTATATGATAAACATTATATTTTTGAATATAAATAATATACATAATAATATAAACAGTGTTAAAAACACTTCAATTCAGTCACAGAACCCTGTGAACTCATATGAACTCATGTGAAGAATTATTACATTTTCTGTGTCCCACTTACAGCTGGATTTTGAGAGAGAATGTGGAAAAGATAATGTATGTGTTGATAATCTCAGAGTGGATTTCAATTTCTCTGGGTGAGGAAAATCTACTTTTATACACAAACTGTAGCGTTAATCGGAATTGATTACTGTGCTGTATAGTGAAAATGAAAATATTTACGTATCTCTGATTTGTTTTGTTCAGATCTACTAATATAGAAGTGGGGATAATGCAGGAGATCAACGTGACGGTGTTTGTCGAGAACAGAGGAGAAAACTCATACAACACACACTTCACCCTCAATTACCCATATGGATTTTCATACAGGAGAATCACATCAAAACAGGTAAAACCTGATGAAAAGGTGTAAATTCTCAAACTAATAGAATTCAATATTGTCATTTATGAAAACTGTGTATATTGGCATATTATCAATATTGATGATGGTATTTCAAAGCGAAATTCCCCAGATTTCTATAAGGGGTGTGAGTATGATTTTAATATACACTCTATTACACCTTTTATACAAAAAATGTATAAATAAAATGATTAAAAGGGCAAAAAAAACAAACAAACAAAACTAGAAATACACATAAATTAGATTACAAAAAAAAAAAATTAATAAAACATTTAAAAGAGAAAGCGGTAGCATGTATAGAACAAGATCCCACACATCAATCAGTCAGTCATTCGTTCATTCGTTCATTCATTCATTTATTGTTGGCTTAATCCCTTATTTATTAAGGGCTGCCACAGCAGAATGAACCGCCAACTAATTCAGCATGTTTTACGCAGCGGATGCCCTTCCAGCCTCAACCCAGTACTGGAAAACGCCCATTGACTCTCACACTCATACACTAGGAACAATTTAGTTTTACCCAATTCACATACAGCGCATGTCTTTGGACTGTGGGGGAAACCGCAGCACCCAAAGGAAACCCACACAAACACAAAGAGAACATGCAAACTCCACACAGAAATGCCAACTGGCCCAGCCAGGACTCGAACCAGTGACCTTCTTGCCATAAGGCGACAGTGCCACCGTGCTGCCCTTTGAACAATTATGTTACGTGCATTTTTGGGAAACACACAAGGGACTGCAATGATCTTTCGTAACCTTGCACATACAGAACGCTCTTAATTAACAGCCAAGACACATAGGTTTTGGGAAACCAGGGCCTGGATCATAACTACTCTGTTTTTGTGATGATCTGTTTGAGCAGGGCAGAGTAGAGTGTTCGTCTCTGGATGGAGAGCAAGGGGTTCGACTGGGAGAAACTGAATGCGCCATCAGTAAACCCATCCTCAAGGATAATACTAAGGTCAGACGTATGACAGGAACACACTCATTTACTGACCACAGTGAACAGAGAGTTCAGAAAGTTTGATTACTTATTCTGCCATTTTTGTCCAATTTATAGATTGTGTTTGAGATTACGTACAGCATTAATAAAGAAGTTACACTGGGACAAAACGTGATATTCAGTGCTTCAGTCAAGAGGTACGAAATCTTTCTGCTAGTTGAGTGCTTAAATCAGGGGTATCCAAACACGATCCTGGAGGGCCAGTGTCCTGCTAAGTTTAGCTTCAACTTGCTTCAACAGACCTGCCAGGAAGTTTCTAGTATCTAGTAAGAGCTTGATTAGCTTGATCAGGTTTGTTTGATTAGGGTTGGAGCTAAACGCTCCAGGACACCGGCCCTCCAGGACCGAGTTTGGACACCTCCTGGCTTAAATGAACTCAAAATGTAAAGCAACTTTTGACCATGAGATCTATTAAGCTGTTTAGAGCAGTGTTTCCCAACCATGTTCCTGAAGGCACACCAAAAGTACACATTATAAACCTCTTTCTGATCAAACACACCTGAATCAGTTCATTAGAACATAAGAAGAGAGTACAAAATCTGAAGTTAATGGGTCAGAAAAGGGAGACGTCCAAAATATGTACTGTTGTTGGGCCTCCAGGAACAGGCATGGGAAACTCTGCTTTAGAGTGCTGCACAATGTTTGGAAAAATCTGACATTGTGATATATATATATATATATATATATATATATATACAGTTGAAGTCAGAATTATTAGCCCCCTTTTGATTTTGATTTTCTTTATTAAATATTTCCCAAATGATGTTTAACAGAGCAATGACATTTTCACAGTATGTCTGATAATATTTTTTCTTCTAGAGAAAGTCTTATTTGTTTTATTTCGGCTAGAATACAAGTAGTTTTTAATTTTTTGAAAACCATTTTTGGGACAAAATTATTAGCCCCTTTAAGCTATTTTTTTTCTGATAGTCTACAGAACAAACCATCATCATACAGTAACTTGCCGAATTACCCTAACCTGCCTAGTTCACCTTATTAACCTAGTGAAGCCTTTAAATGTCACTTTAAGCTGTATAGAAGTGTCGTGAAAAATATCAAGTAAAATATTATTTACTGTCATCATGACAAAGAGAAAATAAATCAGTTATTAGAAATAAGTTTTTAAAACTATTATGCTTAGAAATGTGCTGAAACAATCTTCCCTCCATTAAACAGAAATTGGGGGAAAAATAAACAGGGGCGCTAATAATACAGGGGGGCTAATAATTCTGACTTCAACTGTATATATATATATATATATTGTCCAATAGATATTGGTATGCGAATACAGTTTTAGGTGAGGTTAGATTTGACTTTATTAAACCCCAAAGGGAAATTCACATGTCACAGCAGAGCTCTCCATATAAAAAAAAGATAAATAAGTTACATATACATGTACATATAAAAACACTAATAAAATTACATTTCATACTGCACACCTTAGTTCCAAAAAAACAACAAGAAAACACTTTGTCCATATCTAATATCTAATTCAGTTCAGCACAATTCATCTGGTATGACTTTGGTTATACAATCCGATCACTGTTGGTAAAAAAAATAGACTTCCTGTATCTTTCTCTGTAACACCGGGGTTGAATTAATCTTGTACTAAAAGAGCTTGCACACGCTTGGACTGTTTCAAAAAGGGGATGACTATCGTGGTTCGTTATACTGACACATTTGTCCAGCATGTAAATTTTACCACATGTACTGTAAAAAGTGATTAGTTGACTTATCACAGATAAATACAGTAATAGAGCCAAGAATAAAGTGAAATAAACAATGCTTCATGGACTTCCAGAGAGTCTAATAATATATAGGTATACAGAAACTGAATAATCAAAGGTAAAATAGGACTGTAAAGTCTTCATTGTATAATGATATATCCAAGTAATTCATCTTTATTAAAGTCAAAAACATTTCATGGCATTTGGGCATATGTACAGTTCACACAGTCACAGGCTTTAGTTCAACTAAAAATGAAAACAGCACTATGCTTCCTTAAATGGTTCCAAACCTTTATAAGTGTGTTTATTTAAAGAAACCTGGAAACCGGTAACCACTGACTTCCATTGTAGGAAAACAAATACTAGGGAAGTCAACGGTTACAGGTTTACAGCTTTCTTTAAAATATATCTGTTTAACAGAAGAAAGACAGACACACTGTAAAACTATGCTGAGTTCCACACAATTCATTCAACTGCTGCTGCTCAACTATAATCCAGACTCAACATTGGCCATCTTGATTAAGAGCATATTGCGATATAGATACTGAAATGATAGATCATCATATCAGAAACTCATAAATGAAACTAATAAATAAACCTCCATCTCTTACAGTGGGAATGACAAACACTCTGAAAGCAGCGAGTTATCGAAAAAGAAAAGCATTGATGTGAAATATGGCATCTATGTCGCCCTGATCCGGTCAGTGCTCCATGTTTCTACTCAATAATACCACTCTTCCTTGTCCTGTACTATAACGTGTAAATTGCTTTCTTTGCTTGAAATGAAAGGCATGAAAATTCCACCATCCACATCAACTTTACTTCAGGGAAGAAGGATCTTTCAAAACCCGTCCAGCAGACAATAAAGGTAATGTTTGTTTCACATTCTCTGCCCTACATGATTTTGCGCAATTAATGTACTGTTGTAATAGAAATTTTATTTATATTTTAAGCTTTTATTTCTTGTTTAGTTTTAGCAATTTAGTTTGAATATTTAGTTGGGAAAACTTAAAGCGCAGTGAAAGGGAGAGCACAACAAATACTTTTTTTACAATTTTATTTGCTCAAATAATAATAATAAAAAAAACTCCATGATGGTGTTATCAAGACTTTCAGAAAAAGTAAAAAAAAGTGTGAGACTAAAAACGAAAGCCAAAAGAGAGAATGTCAAATTTATTGTTCCACCCCATAGACACCGCATTAGAAACGCCTCACATAAGCAGCAATTCGTTTATTGTAATTTGAAGCAAATAGGATGTAATACATACACAAAAACATATAAACGTTCAAATGTTTTTACATTTTACTCAAATATTAAAAGTTTTCAAGGATTTAAGATGACCATTAAACCTAGTCTCATAACTAGGGTTGGGTATCGATTGTTTTTTTTCGATACTGGTGCTAAATCGATACTTTTAAAACGATACCGGTGCCAAAACGTTACTTGAACCGATCCACAAAATGATGGTGTTTCACAACATGAACATGACTGAAGTAAAAAAATTTTATTACCTGTGTCAATTTGGCCGTCAACTTCTGACGAATTCGAGGAACTGATGCGCGCAGCACAGAAAGAGCAAGTGCCACAAAAGTGAAGGGAGTGCCCGAGGGAGCGATTGCACATGACACCTAGAGCACGCAAGTGAGGCATTCCTCTGCCTTTGAGCCCTCAGATGTGTCATTATGTTTCATTAAGTTATAGCACCGAAATTCATATGCTGATTTGATCCGGTACATACCGGTTACCAAGGTACAGGTGCTATAATGGCACCGGGTTTCGGTACCCAACCCTACTCATAACAGGCTTGTGAAAAGGGTCTATGAATAGAAAGTTAAATGTGTCAAAAACTAGAACATAAACTAATGTATAATTAAGTGTTCTTGTATGGTTATGATTGGTAATACTTAACAATAAAGTCCCATTAGTTAATTGTAGATGATGTATTTACTAACATAAACAACACATTTATTACAGTATTTAATATTATTTGGTAACTTTAATTAATGTAAATAAAGTTGTTCATTGTTAATCCATCTTAACTCAATGCTTTAATCAATGTTAAAAAGCACTAAAACTTTTCTCAGTCAGTTCATAACCCCTTTAATAATACATTAGTAAATGTTGAACTATGAATAATCAATTGTAAGTTGTATAGTTCATAAATGCATTACTAACATGGAAGCTTATTGTAAAGTATCTTTTTAAATGTAATTTCAACTGTAAAAAGGCTACAAAAAAAAATCCATAACTTGTTTAACAGTACATTTCTTTATAATTAATAACCATAAGTTAACTTTCCCAGAATTTCCCTCATGAGACTTCACTTTTAATGTCTTTTGTTGACATTACTATGGCACTTTTTAGTTTTTTTCCTTATCAGTGATGTTCATTACAGTTTTATGTTACAGCTAATGTTGATAAACGTCATGTATTGCATTATTTGATTTTTTATTATGTTATATTATATTATATTATATTATAATATATTATATTATATTATTATATATTATATTATATTATATTATATTATATTATATTATATTATATTATATTATATTATATTATTATATTATATTATATTATATTATATTATATTAAATTATTATATTATATTATATTATAATATATTATATTATATTATATCATATTATATTATATTATATTATATTATATTATATTATATTATATTATAATTATTATTATATTATATTATATTATATTATATTATATTATATTATATTATATTATATTATAATATTATATTATATTATATTATATTATATTATATTATATTATATATGTATTTAAAATTTAATTAATTTATTTTATTATTAAATTTTTTTTTAATTTTTGTGTTTCCATGATGATGTTAGTAACAATAGTAAGACATTTCTATATATTAATGTGTGTCTCTGTTCCTGAGAAAAGCTGTTTGTGATGAGCATTGGTTCAGTATGTTTTTCCCATCACCACCTGCTTATGGCCGTGTTTTCATTCGTGTAACAACGGTATAAAGTGTAGATAGATTCAAAAACTGACTGTATAATACTGAAATATGATGTTTTACTTAAAATATGGTACAGTAAACAGTTTTAAGTTCTGGCAGCCACAGTAAATTTGACAGATTTCTTTTAAATAATAAACCTCACTGGTTGCAAAATAAATAACTAAATAATAGAACATTGGATGGAAGAAGGTCCTCCAAAGGTGGCTCAGTGGATGTATAGACTTTAACAGGTCAGTGTAATGAAAAAATTGACTGCATGTCTACAAATGATATTTTTCTGAAGAGGTGGAAAAAGTTAATTAGACATGTACATTTAGAGATTAATTAACCTGTCACCAATTTAATTTGTGATAACTACAATGTGATTATGTATCCCCTAAAAAGTATTAATGATCGCAGTACTGAATTATTTATTTATTTTTTATATTATTATTTTTTATTAATATTTATTTCCTCATCTGTAAGGGGTTGAATTGTTGGGGAAGGGGTTGTTCTGCAAAATACAATTGAAACATAAATAAAAAAAGTAAATAATAATAATAAACCTCAATATCTTAAACATATTTTATATTATTATTCAGAACAGGGTAATCTAAAACTTGTAGAAACACTCAAATGTCTATACTGTACATAAATATTCATTGTTTTTCATGTTTCAGATTGAAAATGACCTCAGACCGTTAGCTTTCACAGCTTTCATCAGAGTACCATTGAAGCTTGGTGATACCGACATCTGGAAAGAATCTACTTTGCAAGTGTGTGAATTTATTGCTTTTTAAATTGTTTTACAAGCCTTAAACGCATGCATATAGTTATTCTTTTTTTTTTCGTACTGTTCGGAAACTTGTTTAATAATGCTGCTATGACAAAAAATGGGTTTTATTTCTTTCTTAATTATATCATTACTTGTTTTGAAGGTTTCTGACTGTGTGAAAAATAAAACGGAGAAGCCTAGTGTTACAAATTATATGGATGATATTAAAAAACATCATGTACTGGTGAGGAGACTTTTTTAAACATGTTTTTTTGTTTGGTTTTCTGAATATACTAATAGTGAAATACACTCAGAAGAATGATTTGTGCTGCTTGTTCAAGCTACTTTGTATAAATGAGCCGAATCAACACAATTCTTGAACTTTTGGGCAAACAACATATTTGTTTTATGTTTGATCAACTTACATTTGTAAAAACAACACATTAAATCAATTTGTGTTGGGACAACATGAATGAATTGTGTGGAACCCAGCATTTTACAATGTCCCAACACAAATAAATCAAGTTAGGTTCATTAGTTTTGACCAATTTAAGTGGATTGAAAAAAACAAGTTATCCAGAAAAAAAAACCCCTCAAGAATTGTTTTGTTTCAGCTCATTGTAAATATTTTTTTTCAGCTATTTTTGTTTTGTTATGAGTGTATTAAGTGTACATTAGTGAATATCTCTCTGTGTGTGTCAGAACTGCAGTGTGGCGGTGTGTGCCGTGTTTATCTGTGATGTCAATCTCATAAAGAATGAAAGGAAGCTCTATAATATTACTGGCAATGTGAGCTCTGCGTGGATTGAGCAGGTATCTGACTTTGAAAGGACACACAAATCACAGAATGGACCATATGTAATTGTCTATTAATATTTAACACTCTTGATCTCTGTGTCTCTTAGACTGGACTCAAAAGCGCTGTGTTTGAGCTGGTCAGTACAACCACTATGGATTACGACATGAGCACATATGTTTTCTTTTCCTCGGATTCCAGAAACACGGCGCCGTCTTTACAGGTAATGCTATGATAGTTCATGATGTCAAGAGAGGAGAATGATTAGACTTCATTTATTTAATCATTAAAAACTGCAAAACTATTACTATTATTATTATTATTATTATTATTATTATTTGTGTTTTTAATGGGGTAATATACACAATTATAGAAATTGACAATATTTAAAGACCCTCCACATTTTGTTAATGCATACAAGATTAAACAGAATATGCTCCTTCTTATTATTGAATATGAGTATGTGCATATAGACATGAGTAGGCTTACAGGTATTCTTGGTCTAATTATACATTACACAGAATCAAATACACATATATAAACCATTGTCTAACCTGACTAAAAAAATAAAGTTATTATTTTAAAATTTGATTAGGATGTAAAATGCAACTCAGTTTAATCCGGTGCTAGTTTGCTTGTTACTGTAGAATACACAGTATTATGCAACTTTAAAATACAGTAACATTAGGGATGTAACAATATTGTAAATACCGTCATACCGCAATAGTAATTTTTTTCAATATTACCGTAGGCGCATGACTCAATAAAACTATATTTCTGAGCAAAGTTTGCTTAGGCGAATGAAGCGAACGGGAGGTAGCGGGAACTACAATTCCCATCAGCCTAGGCGTGGCCATCATCCTTTGCGGTCTGTTGTCACTACAGATCCAGTAATGCGGAAATGGAGTGTGCTGCTAGTAGCGGGGAAGAAAAAGAGCTGGAAATGATCGAACCTAAAGCGGGTTTTAAATCGGATGTGTGGAAGCATTTCGGTTTCTTTCTAAAAAGATACGAAAAAGGTGAAAAGGTGACAGACAAAGGAAAAAACAGTATGCAGGCACTGCCAGACTGTGGTGAAATATAAGTCAGGGAATACGACTAAAAACAGTCATGGGGACTGCAGAACACAGCATACTTGTTAGATTGATGCAGACATTGACTTAAACCGCAAAAAGACCTCTATCTCACTCATGGCTTGTCCTCTCAAGTGATGGAAAGACAACGTTACCCACTGCTGTCAACCTTGGCTAAATCATATCTCTCTGTCCCAGAAACCTCAGTCCCAAACGAGAGGGTTTTTTTCTGTTGCAGGGGACATGCCAGCTTTTACCAGATTATAGTTATATGATAATTTTCCTTAAAAAACCCATCTCTATCTAAGTGAGTGAGTGATTAAATGTTGAATGTGATGAGTTTTCAATACTAAATTGAAACTTAATTTTTTTTTTATATGGTTTAACAGTTTTTTGTTATTTAAATTGAACAATTGCAGTTCCTGTTTTGAAACGTACAGATAGATGGCTAATATTTTATGTCATTGATATGTTCAGTGTTAAGGTAAATAAACACTTTTGGCTCTTTTTTCGAGTCTTTTCATTAGTTTTGTTTTTCCTGTAAATTATTCAATAAATATTGTACCGTCCCATTCATACCGAGGTATTATCGTACCGTGAAATTCTGATACCGTTACATCTCTAAGTAACATACATGATAACTGTCCTATACAGTAAAATCCAGTTCATATGACAGTTAAATACTGCGTCATTTACAAAAATCGTTAACAGTGTATATTATATGTAGATCAGCACTCAGGTGGAGGTTTATGAGGAGGTGGACCTGACAAAGGAGATCATTGGAGGAGTGATTGGAGGACTTGTGCTGCTGGCTCTCATCACTGCGGCCCTCTATAAGGTATATTACTGTCAGAAAAACTACACAATCCTAATATTTACAGCATGTGTAGTTTATTAACGCATACTCCCTCTCTTTGCAAGGCTGGGTTCTTCAAAAGCCAGTACAAGCAGATGATGGAGGAGGCACAGGGAGAAGAAGCGCCACAATAATGTGCACTCAAACAGTTATGGGATACTGATTGAGTTCTGTGGGATTTACAGTCACACATATTTAACCCTATAACTGAGGGATGTCAAACTCAATTCCTGGAGGGCCGCAGTCCTGCATAGTTTAGTTCCAACCCTGCTCCAACACACTTACCTGTAGGTTTCAAACAAGCCTGAAGGACTCAATTGGTTTGATCAGGTGTGTTTAATTAGGGTTGGAACTAAACTGTGCAGGACTGCGGCCCTCCAGGAATTGAGTTTGACTTCTCTGCTTTAACTGGTGCCCCACTTTTTAAACAGATATAAAAATTACATGTTCAGTTTAAATTAATGCCAATCTTAGATGCTGTGGTGCATAGATTTAAATTTGGTCTAATTTTAAAGACAGATGTCAGATTTTAGCTGAAGGGAAAAATGCTCAAATAAAAGTTGTGCCATTTTGTTTATAAAAAAAACTTTTATTTTTTAGTATTTTACATACTAAAACATGGTTTTACCAAAATCAAGCTAAATATCTGATCAAATTACTGTATATTCCAATTTTGAAATGTCTCAAAAAAAATAATAAGCCTGTGAGTATTATTTTGTTGGACCGCAATACCAAACATGACCACTAAATAACATCCAGTTTATATTGGTGACAATACAAGGGCGCCCCCTATGTTTTAAGGAACAAAACCATGTTTTATTCATACATTTGACTGTATTTGTAAAGTAAACCTAAATTCTAAAGTACTATGGGCAGTTTGATGGTATTTGGTTGGAATTTAGACTCTATAGTGGATTGCTGTAGCAAAGTAATGCTTTACGACTCTGAATAGTATCCTTGTAGGAAATTAATAAAGAACTTTTGCTCAGTAATATCTAACTAAAACTGTCACCAGATATGAAAACTAGAAAGTTTACACTTTTAAACGCTTATTAGTTTGTTGTCATGTTTGCTTTGTTTAGGCTACAATATTATGGTTTAAAACCGTAAATGGTCCCACAGGTTGTAGGGTGACAGTAATCTGTGTTTAAATCTATTATTCATACATAACACAAACAAGTAACAGACCTTTCCAATGATATATATTTAGTCATTATTAGATAGGGACTTTAATGAAAAAATGTCGTAAACATAATTGTCCTGGTAGCAGAACAGTGACAGTGATGAACAACTAATATACTAAAATATTTTACTTGAAATGTTATTAGAAATGTTGTATTGGATAGGCACACGGTTATTGAGATGTTTTCTTTTAAATTATCTAAACATTTTTTTTATCATTGTCTCTGGGTGTTTTGAAAATGTTTAATGCTGTATATACAGTATACAGTTGAAGTCAGGGTTTTTAGCGCCCCTTTGATTTTATTTTCTTTTTTAAATATTTCCCAAATGAAATTTTCACAGTGTGTCTGATAATATTTTTTCTTCTGGAGAAAGTCTGAGTTGTTTTATTTCAGCTAGAATAAAAGCAATTGTAAATTTTTTAAAAAACATTTTAAGGTCAAAATCATTATACAATAAAAACGATCATTATACAATAACTTGCCTAATTACCCTAACCTGCCTATAGTTAACCTAATTAAGTCTTTAAATGTAACTTTAAGCTGTATAGAAGTGTCTTGAAAAATATCAAGTCAAATATTATTTACTGTCATCATGGCAAAGATAAAATAAATCAGTTATTAGAAATGAGTTATTAAAACTATTTTGTTTGGAAATTTTTAACATCTCTCCGTTAAACAGAAATTAGAGAAACAAAAATAAACAAACGGAGCTAATATTTCTGACTTCAACTATATATATATATATATGTATATATTGCTTATTTTGTTTGATGAAATTATGTTGCTTACTAATTTTGTATATATTCATTACAGATTATAAAGTTTTGGCAGTTAAGTGTTTATTTGTGTCTGTGTGTGTGCACATGCATGTCTATATGTGCCCATGGGTATTTAAAAAGACAATGTTCAAGAAAACAATGTTCAAGAAACTTGGAATAAATTTTCAACATCCATGAACACAATGTGTGACGTGGACTGACACACAATTGTGCAGAGTGCAGTTACTGCTGAACTGGCCAATGCAGATCCAGAAAAATATGCAGAAAATCAAAACAAACAGGGAGAGAAATGATCAAGCGTTACCCAAAAATGACAGATGAGACTGAATACAAGCCATGAAAAACGAGGGGAAATTGCTTCCAATAAGAAAATAGTTGGTAGTTGTAAAGAAAACAAATTCTTTTTGTAACAAATGCTTTGTTAATGATAAATCATGATAATAAAGAGGTAACGAATGTTAGTAAAACAGATAATGTTGGAATCGTGTACACTTTACAATAAAGTTCTGAATTCCAGTAACAAAAGCTTTGTTAATGATCAATCATGTTAGTTAACAAACATGAATAACAGTTAAAGCTGAGATGCACTCCAACAGAGGGTCTGACATTGCTCAGTAACAATGGATTTATATACGTTCTACCAATTAGTGCGCATTAGTATAAGTAGTTAACATGAACAAACATGAACTAATGCAATAACTAACATTCTAGATTTTTATGAACAAGAATTCAATACTGAATAAATATGTTGTATATTATTAGGTCATCTAATCCATTAAATAGTATGAGTTATTATTAACTAATTAAGCTGTTCATGTAAAGAGACGCATTAGAATATGTAAATTCACATTAACACAGATTAAGTAATGCAGAACAAAATCGTTGTTCACTGTTACATCATGTTTAGTTAGCATTAAAAAAGGTTAAGTAATGCTTAACAAATGTGTTATTGTTAATTGCCAATGCATTAACTATAACGTTAACTAATGGGACTATTGTAGTAGCCTACATTTGCACACAGTTTACATCAAGGGTGCCCAAACTCGGTCTTGGAGGGCCGGTGTCCTGCAAAGTTTAGTTCCAACACTAATTAGACACACCTGGGCCAGCTAATCAAGCTCTTAGGCTTTATAGAAACATCCGTGCACGTGTGTTGAGCTAGGTTGGAGCTAAAATCTGTTGGTCCCTCCAGGACCGAGTTTGGACACCTCTACATTATCAGCATAAATTTGGTTCATCTCTGACACACTGTAAAAAAAATGCAGGGTTCAAAACAGTTGTTTTTTGTTGGGACAACATGAATGAATTTATATAACTTCTTAGTTTTTATAAATTTCTGAACATACAACAATTAAGTTGCCCTACCCCCCCCACCCCCCCCCCCCCCCAAAAAAAACAAAAAAACAATCAAGACTGTGTTGTTTTGGTTTGTTTTAAATAAGTACTTTGAACAAACAGAAAACATAACTTAGAGTGTAAGAGGAGTACAATTTCCAGAGATGCAATATAGTTCAATAGTCTACAGAACAAACCATCGTTATACAATAACTTGCCTAATTACCCTAACCTGCCCAGTTAACTTAATTAACCTAGTTAAGCCCTTTAAATTTCACTTTAAGCTGTATAAAAGTGTCTTGAAAAATATCTAGTCAAATATTATTTACTGTCATCATGGCAAAGATAAAATAAATCAGCTATTAGCGATGAGTTATTAAAACTATTATGATTAGAAATGTGCTGAAAAAAAAATCTGCTCTCCGTTAAACAGAAAACGTGGGAAAAAAATTAATAAGGGGGCAAATTATTCAGCGGGGCTAATAATTTGACTTCAACTGTATATGTATATGTATATATATATATATATATATATATATATATATATATATATATATATATATATATATATATATATACACACACACACACACACACACACACACACACACACATTGCAGAAGCTATTAAGCCAACAGCTATTATTTCTCTCACAGGACCTGACTATTGTATTGCATCTTTTTAGTGACTGTTTAAAAAGGTCAGAAATTGAATACAGTTGATTTCGGATTTAATTGAATGCAAATCAGAGATCACATTCATTTCCTCATTTAGATTGCTGTTCCTCTTTAGTCAATACTTTCACCACTTTTCACAACTAGGACTCACTTTGGCATCTGACTTGTCTGCCTCCCCTCATGCACCCTTCAGTTCTACATCTGACAGATCATGATGGATTGGTACTCCTATATCAGTTTTTGCATCTTCTGTGGTAATGTTATGTCTTTTCTGTATTTCAACCAAAATAGTCTATTTCAGCTGTTATTGTAAGTCTTCTTGTGTTGCAACACCTTTTGTTGCATCTTGCAAGATTGTAAATAGTGAGAGGCAAGAAGATCCATCTTGAATGTAAATGGTCAAATTTGTCAGTCGAATTTGCTTAATACACTCTTTATAGTCTAAATTGGTTAACGTTTATATCTGTGTGAAATGCGTTACAATAGTCATGATTGTATGATCCTTCATACAATATTTCATATTGTATGGAGATGAATGGCTAATGAGGTGTGAGGTGTAGAAATGTATGACATGTAGATTTGAAGTTACCCAACATTCAGAAATGCAACGATGTTCAGTTTAGTTTGTTTGTTTACAGGGTCAATGCACATTAATAAACATGTAAAATGTGCCAGGATTAGCCAAGAATGGCTATTTTTCATGTGTAGACCCCTAACAGAATGTTAAAGTCACACCTAAAATAGAAGCACGACATTAAATATACTTTCATATAAAAAATACAGATTAAAAAGTAAAAGAAAAAAAAAACAAGAATAGACTGACGGCAGCAGAGGAGGACAAAAAGCCAAAGACAACAGTACAAATCAAGAGTACAGTACTAATGCTGACAATGCTGATTTGCCAATAACCAGTTTTTAACATGAAATTGAAAATAAAGAAAAGTGCATGATCTTTGTTGGTGGGATGGAGTTCCAATCCTTAGCAGCTTTCACTGAAAATACCGACTGACTGAGTTGACTTTTTTTGAGAGGAATAATGCAGTCTCCTCTGTCACCTCCTCTAGTAGTTCGGTGAGCAGTCGTTCTAATATTTACAAACTGATTTAGTGGTGAAGTCGGGTTATGCAAAGTCTTAAACATTAAACAGATATGTACATACTTATTTAAATTTTCCCAACTAAGCAGGTTGTATTTCTTTAATATTAAACAATGGTGAAATTGAACTGGTGTGTATAAAGCTGTTCTGTGATGTGGACAAAGGATGAAAATATCCTTTTAAGCCAAGAACAATAGCAT